CCCTCTCCCCCTCCCCCCCCCCTCTCCCCCTCCTCCCCCTCCGCCCCCTCCTCCCTTTCCCCCTCCTCCCACTCCCAATCCCCATCCCCCCCCTCACCTCCATCCCCCCCCCCTCCCCCCTCCACAATTACTCAATGTGAATACTACTGTCCTCTCTCCCGTGAGTATGTGGCGGAATATGTCTGTGAATATTCGCCCTCTCCCCCCTCGCGTATTGTTTTCCACACAGGATGTCGGCGAGTTGGGTTTTCTCTTGTGCTTTGTTTTCAAAATGCTGCTCTCGCTGAGACGCTGGCCTCATGTTCGAGATTATGCTCGTTCCGAATCGTTTTCCCGCTGCAACGCTGGCGTCATTTCCGCGCTTCCGATCATTCCGAATCGTGCTCCCACTTGAACGCTGGGCTTATTTCCGCGTTTCGGCTCGTTCCGAGTCATGCTCCCGCTGCAGCGCTGGCGTTACTAGTTCCAGCGCCATGCCATGGCATGGTTTTCTGCCCATCCCAATATGACTCCAAAACTAGAAACTGGCCCCCCGAAGCAACCATCGGAAGTGATTACACATTCGGTGCCGATTCGTTGATTTGTTGGGCCGCGGAAGCCACCCCACTTTAAGGCGTCAGGCTGTGCGTTGATCTTCAACACCATACTATGCCATGTAATGCTACGCCCTGCTACGACATCTGACTGTGCGAATAGAGAGAGGAGATCTACGCCATGGTAAGGGATGGGAGGGAGGGGTAGGACATTAGATATGACGCGGGCGCACCTAGTTTGCCCCTCCCCCCTCCCCCCTCCCCCCTCACCCTCCCCTCCCCCTCCTCCTCCTCTTTTACTCCTCCTCCTCCGCCTCCTCGTTCTCCTCCAGCTCCGCCTTCTCCTCCTCCTCCTCCTCCTCCACCACCTCCCCCTCCTCCGCCTCCTCCATTCCTTCTCTTTCTTAAAAAATGTATCCCTGTCGCACCCCGAAGCCAATTGTTGGGGTGGGCCGGGCGTTTCGCCTGAGACTTCCTCACCGCTGATGACTCTGAAGCTTCAAATTGGCAGCAGCTTCACAGATGGAGGGCGGGTCGTTTTCAAAATGTGGCTCTCGCCTCAGCGCGGCGCACGTTCATGCTAAACATGTGCGAGAGCTTCACGGATTGAGGGCGGGCGGTTTCCAAAGTGTGGCTCTCGCCTCAGCGCGGCGCACGTTCATGCTAAACATGTGCGAGAGCTTCACGGATTGAGGGCGGGTGGTTTCCAAAGTGTGGCTCTCGCCTCAGCGCGGCGCACGTTCATGCTAAACATGTGCGGGGGCTTCACGGATTGAGGGCGGGTGGTTACCAAAGTGTGGCTCTCGCCTCAGCGCGGCGCACGTTGGGTTCATAATGTGCAAGAGTTTCACGGACTGAGGGCGGGTCGTTTTCAAAAAGTGGCTCTCGCCTCAGCTCGGCGCACATTCGCTTAAAAAAGGCTTCACGGATCGAGGGCGGGTGGTATTCAAAATGTTCCTCTCGCCTCAGCGCGGCGCACATTCGTTTTAAGCACTTGCAAGAGCTTTACGGATTGAGGGCGGGTGGTTTCCAAAATGTGGCTCTCGCCCCAGCGCCGCGCATACTCGTTTTCAAAATTAACAAGGGCTTCACGGATTGAGGGCGGATCGTTTTCAAAAAGTGGCTCTCGCCTCAGCGCGGCGCACATTCGCGAACACAAATGCAAACATGCCAGGAACTGCGTCTTGATAGGATTCAGGATTTTGCTGGTGTAACAGTTATGTTGCTTTGATGTACGTCCCAGAAATTGCGTTCTGGCATCACTGAGGACTGTCAAGACGCAACAATCAGGTTCATCCGTGGCGTTGGAGTCCCGAGAACAATGTTGTGGCATGCCTCAGGGTCTTCAAACAGTTGTCTTCCAAAGAGGCAGTTCCATCAATGGAAATGAACCGTTGTAGGGGCCTATGAAGAGGGAGCTTGGAAGGAGGGTGTATTCCAACATCGTTAACGACTCTTGGGTTTACACTGGTCCTCCTCCTCCTGCTCCTCCTCCTCCTCCTCGTCCATCTCTTCCTCCTCCTCCTCCTCCTCCTCCTCCGCCTCCTGCTCCTCTTCCTTCTCCTCCTCCTCCTCCTGCTCCTCCTCCTCCTCCTCATCCTCCTCCTCATCCTCCTGCTCCGCCTCCTCCTCTTCCTCCTCGTCCTGTTCCGCCTCCTCCTCCTCCTCCTCTTCCTCCTCCTCCTCCTCCTCCCCCTCCTCTTCTTTCCCTGTCTCCTTCTAAAAAGCTTCCCACTGTCGCACTTCGAGGTCAATGTTCTTAGGGAGGGCTGGGCGTTTCGCATGAGACTGCCTCACCATTTATGATTCTGAAGCTTACATATTGACAACAGTTTCACAGATGGCGGGCGGGTCGTTTTCAAGATGTGACTCTCGCCTAAGCGTCGCGCACATTCGTCTAAAAAGTTGCAAGAGTTTCACGGATTGAGGGCGGGCCGTTTCCAAAATGTGGCTCTCGCCTCAGCGCAGCGTACATTCTTTTGAAAAACTTGCAAGAGCTTCACGGATTGAGGGTGGGTCGTTTTCAACATGTGGCTCTCGCCCCAGCGCGGCGCACATTTTTGTAAAGGATAAAAGCTTAACGGATTGAGGGCGGGTGGTTTTCAAAATGTTGCCCTCGCCTCAGCGCGGGGCACATTCGTTTTAAATATTTGAAAGCGTGTCACGGATTGAGGGCGGGTTGTTTCCAAACTGTGGCTCTCGCCTTAGCGCCGCGCACATTCGTTTCAATTGCTTCTACAAAAAAACAAATCGAAGGTTTCACTGATGTCCATGATCAGCGTACCAGGGTGCAACAGTTACATTGATCCGCGCTGCTGAGAACTCAGGAATTGCGGTCTGGTTGTATTTCAACGACGCAGTTCCCTCAGTCGAAACGAACCGTTGTAGGGGCCCTTGAAGAGGGAGTTCGGAGGGAGGGTTTATTCCAACATCGTTGATGACTCTTGGGTGTACGCTGGTCCTCCTCTTCCTCCTCCTCCTCCTCCTCCTCCCCTTTCCTCCCCCTCCGGTTCCTCCTCTTGCTCCTCCTCCGATTCCTCCTCAATCCTCCTCCTCTTGGGGCACGACGTCTAACCCAGCCCTTTATTCCACTGCGCTCTCATCCACATCCCTGACCAGGGTGACTCGTCTAGGCATCGCTCCTGGACGGGCTGGTGGGGTCACGCGAGGCGTCTAGAAGATGTCCCAGAGGTACTGCACTTGTGACCGGGAGCCTCGTCGCCGGGCCTCGAGGGGCTCGACGCTCAGGGCAGGCAGAGTGGCTGCCGCACAGCGAGATCCTCCGGCTATGTAGTACGTGCCGCCCGCGTCGCCTCTCACTGCAGTGGGCGTGGTGCCAGGCCTTCCAGCGTCCACGGCCACGCGCGCCGTGACAGGTCGGGGGAGTCTCACTGATCTGTCGTCACGCCGCTGGACCCCGCACCGATTTGGAGTTCGCGACAGAGCGGAAGGGCCCGAAGCGGGCTAGCACCTTCGTCCACTCACCCACCCCTCTCTCACAGGAGCCGTCGCTCGCCTCGCGTCCCTTCTCACTGTTTCGCATGCTCGTCGACTGCGATTTGTTGACATCATCGTGAATACGAACAGAGCAGGCTGTTGACCACGACAGGGGAGGGGGGGAACACAACGGGGAGGGGGAGGATGGGGAGGAGGAGGAGGAGGAGGAGGAGGAGGTGAAAGGGTGGAACAACGACTGCGACGATGTCGACGGCGGCGGCGCCGCCATCTTCGAGACCGTCGCACACTGGGACCCCAATTGGGGGGGAGGCCACACTTGGCCACTTCTCTTTCAAGATTGGTATTTCAAGGCCTGAGCACAGCGGCGGCGGCGCCCACCGCAGCCGGCGCCAGCGCCGCCAGCGTCGAGGAGCACCAGAATGAGAGCACGCGAGCACCACCGCGTGCCTCCGAGCACCGCAGTGCACTCACGAGCACTAGACGGCGAAGGAAAGCGGACCCTGCCAGGGCTTCAATATCTGCGAGTGCCGCACGCGTGCGCAACAACATCATGCCAGGTCCTACACATGCCACAAGAGCCCGCAAGCGCCAGGGCCCTGAGAGTACCGACAGTCAGGCTATGAACACAAGTAGCCAGCGAGCACGACAGTAGCCCGCGAGCACCGCAATGGCCTGCGAGTGCTACGATGGCCTACGAACACTGCGAAAGCACAATGATAGAAGACTGTGGTGGTACTCGAGTGCGCTACCGCAGTGCCGGGGACGCACTGCGGGAGTGGGTCAGGGCGAGCCACCCTTAGGGGACATGAAGAGACCATGACGCCTGTTATGACCCAGGCCCAAAACAGGTTCAATGATGCCCTCCCAGTTACGCTAGCCAAAGCCAAAGCCAAACGCAGACTTTGAATCTCCAACTAAACTGGCCCAGTCGAGGGGGGCGCAGTGGTTCACGACAGCGCGCTAAATTCAGTGCAAGGCATATTGATGGTCAGCAGCATGCTGCTGCGATCTTAGGCGAAAGAGGATTCAGATACACATACGAGCGTAGCAACCTGTTCGGATGCCACCCGATGCTCACATTCGTGCTCTCCGACTACAGTTAAGACTGTAGTTTTAACTATAGCTACAACTGTTTACAAGTCGATGGTAGTTTCCACTACGGAGTGAAGCGGCTCCGAAATTTGCTTTCAACCCACATGCAAGAAAAAATGCGTGATACTCCGAAGATGTACGGCAATCGAAAAGGATATATGCTGGCATTCCATGGCCTCCAGATAAAGCTCGCCCTCGTCGGGCGCACTCGCGGCTCAGAACAGGTTTTGTCCTGACAGGCCAGAGATGCTGTGGCACGACACTGGCAGATATTTAGACGGGCAAGCACGCGCGGCTCTGCCACTGCTGATAAGAATTCACGCAGTCGAGTTTCGTCTGTCGCGCCCGTGTGCGTGTGGCCCAGGCACGCGAATCCCCGAAGCTCTGCCGTGGCTCGCTTCTCTTGCCCGCCGATGCCTCCTGCGTGTCAGTCAACCTCTGCACCTCGAGGTTGCGGGACGCGTTCGACGAATGCTGCACCACCACCGCGGTCCTTGCAGAAGAAAGATCATATATGAATCGATTCGGGCGCAGTGCGCTGCTTCGGGTTCCACTGCCACTGCCCCAACTTCTGCTGCTACATTGGCTGATTGGTCCTCGTGGTCCCGAAACTCTTGCCCCTACTTCGACCCGCTCCCAACACACGACGCATCGTTACATATCCGAAGACCCCCAGTGCCCTCCGAAACCGCGGGAACACCACCAGAACTGCAAGCACCATTTGTGATTCGACGCCGAAGGCCGAAGATGGCCGCCGGTTGGCCTTCAGGTGGCCCTCGGGCCCCAAGCTGCACAACACCCTCGTGGGTCTTCCAGCCGGACCACAAAATCGTCGAGAGTGGCCAAAGACCCTCCCAAAACAGCCCACACCATCTCGGGGATGGACAGACCCCCCTTTAGTAAAACGTGGTTTAGTGAAAACGACCTGAGGCCCAAACCTGGCGGCCGCAAGCCTGGAAAATAACGGCCACGGCGCCCTCTCGAGAACCGAAAACGGACAATTCATTAATCGACGTGTCACTGTTGGGGGTTCTGCCCACCCCCAAATTTCATCTCCCTCCTTACCCTTATACTTTCTCAACTCCTTTTCCTTACACATGATTTCTCCCTTTCGCACCCCGGGGCCAGTCTTCACGGCGGGCTGGGCGGTTTGCTTGAGACTTCCTCAATAGTTCTGACCCTGAAGCTTGAACATGGGCAACAGCTTCACCGATGGAGGGCGGGTGGTTTTCAAAATGTGGTCCCCGCCCCAGCGCCGCGCACATTCGACTTAAACATGTGTGAGAGCTTCACGGATGGAGGGCGACTGCTTTTCAGAATGCGGTTCTCGCCTTAGCGCCGCGCACATTCGTCCTTACAATTTGCAAGAGGTTCCCGGATTGAGGGCGGATCCTTTTCAAAATGTGGTTTTCGTCTTAGCGCCGCGCACATTCGTTTTAAACACGGCAAGGAGCTTCACGGATTGAGGGCGGGTGGTTTTCAAAATGTGGCAATCGCCTGAGCGCCGCGGACATCGTTTTACAAATTTGCAGGAGCTTTCCGGGATTGAAAACGGTTCCCTTTTGAACATGTGTTTTTCCCCCTACACAGCACCAGCAAAGCAGCTCCCGCCGACACAGTGGCATCCTCACCGTGCCCGTGAGGTGGACCCCGAGGCCCTGCCAGAATAGTCTCTCGTACCCGCGTGCCGGCCACGCTCGACACTTGCGAAACACTGCTGGTGGTGAAATGTCACGCGCGACGTCAACTTTAAACCCTGGCCCATGCCAAAGTGAAAAAGCACTGGCAACACTTCCCTAAATGGCAACATTGGGTCAGAAATCGTAGAATGCAGATTGAGCTAGCGCAAAGACCAAGCTCCACGAACGACCACGCAAACTTGAGATCCCGACCCTGTGTGGAAATCCCCCTTTGGCCTACTCAGCCGAAAACTAAAATCGCACACAGTAGCACTAGAAGGGAAGAGGGGAGGAAGGAGAGCGGAAAACGGCTGCGCAGCATGCCAGCAGCCTTTGCCCAACGCCAGCCCAAGTACAGCCGGCCGGCCCCTGGTGAAGAATAACACCGATGTGCAGACACTAAGATGTAACTGTATAAACAGACATGCACATGCAAGAACGGAGGAAGGAGGGCAAAGTGAGGGGAGGCAACTCCCACAAGTCGAGTCCTACCGAAGAAAAAAGGGAGGGTGCCGATCCGAGGAGACATTGTTTTTCCGGCTCCCTGGTGGGGGCGCCATCCCACCAGGGGCCGACCGACACGGCACCCTTCCATTCACACTCTTGATCGTGTCCTTCCGGAGGCCACCAAAGATCTGAGACGTGCACTGGCTAACAAGACGAACCACGTCGTGTGCCCCTCTACCGCCATAGCGTGGGGGCGAGTCGCCGCGCGCGGGGGACGAGGGAGGAGAAAGAGGGCGCGGAGGAGAAAACGAGGGGCGGGGGGGGGCAACCCCCTTTACCACGCAAGCGTTTGCACTGACGGAGCTGGTGGGGAGCTGTCCGCCGGAAGGCGGCATTTGCCGGCTCCGCTGCTGCGGCGAAAGCGGCCCCGTCTGCAACGCCGCTCCTCCAACGGAAACCTGCAGTATCACATCGGGCATGCATTGCGGAAGAAGCTGCAGTCTGCAAATCTGAAACGTGCACTGCTGCGAAACTACGTTTGTGAACGACGCCATTCATTAAAGCACGGACCTGTGGCACCGCCACATCCGCGGCTGGCACAAGAAGACTTCGCCCACAGTGCGGCGGGACGACCCGGAAAAAGGGGGTGAAGGGGAGGGAGAGGGGAAGACGGCGGGGAGGAGGAACGATGTGCAACCCATCGCCAACCAGGTCGGCTACTGCTCAAGGCCGGGCGAGACGACGTGCACGGGGGGAGCGAGGAAGAGACAGGCAGGGGAGACGAAGAGTCGGCCCGCCCCGGCGGGGTTAGCCGGAGTTCCGCCTCCAGGAAGCGAGAGCGGGAGGAAGGAGACGAGGGGGGAAGGATATTCCAGGCGGGCGCGGTATAACTTTGAGCCCTTTTCCGCTCCGTGCAAGCCCACGCTGAGACGCCATCGGCCGTGCGGCTTGGACAACAGACGGCCCGCAAGGGATCCAAAATCGACGGGCAGGCATCCCCCGAACCGGCCGCCCGAGAGGGGACGAGGCGAGGAGGAGGAGGAGCAGGGGAGGGAGAAACAACAGGGACCAACCTAAAATCGAGGATAGGCCGGCACGGCCAAAATCGAGACTTTCGCCGTAACGGTCTGGACGGCCGTTGCTCACTCACGCGTCCGTGCCATGGCCACTGCGCCCCTCCCTCGAATACTCGCAGAAGTCGCCCAGGATTTCGCTCGTCGCCAAGAGATGGTGTCGCCGGCCATTATGCACCCGGTACAGCGCGTACACCGCCACCGCCCAGTTGATAGTGGCTTCGTCCGTGCGGAATGTCCCCCCCAAGCGAAAGAAATCATCCAGTGCGAGCGCGCCGGGCGCAAGTTCCACTCCCGCTCTCTGGCGGAAGAGGTCACGGACAGCGCGGCAGTGTGCAAAATGCGTGATAGCGTCTTCCCTTGCGCCGCATGCAAATCGGCATGGGCAACTTCCACCAAAACGGGTACTCGTACACCAACCGTTGCAGAAGAGGCGGAGCACTGCAGCCCAAACGCGCGGGAGACAGCGGGCACCCACCATCCGCAGAACGCGCAGAGCAGGCCCCAGCCGGCGGCCAGGCAAGAGATCCAGAGACCAATGGTCCAGTCTGCGACGCAGGTGAACACTTGCTTGTGCACGCGGTTGGCCGTAGATCTGGTTGGCTGCAAACCGTTGCCACCCCGAGCGTTGTTCCAAATGCTCTGCGTGCGGTTGTCGGCGACGGACCGCCGCAACCTGCTCGTCGGCCCGGCTGAGGTTCATCAGAAGCTGCCGTTGCGCCAGTCGCTCAGCCACGCCACCCGCGCCAGAGACGAGGCGTCTGAGGCGCAAGAGAGCCGCTGCATATGCGTCGCCTGCCGCCGGATCCCAAGGGAGCCGTTGGACTCGTAACGGACCACTCGCAACTACGGTTGACTCTACGTCCACGAGCTGGTCTGTGCTGCCCAGAGTGCGGAGTTCACGGAGGGCGTCGGTGGTGATCCACTCCATCGGGCCACGGAATAACCGTCGGCAAGCTGCGGCTTCTGCGCGCGCGAAGTCATGCAGCAGCACTTCTAGGTGCCCCACAAATAAGAGGACGGATGCAATGTACACTCGGTACGCCTTTAAAGAAATAAGGAGACCTGCGCCCACTTGTCCCCACTGACTGGATCGCGTCAAATATTTACTGATGGGGGTCTCCCAAGACAGCTGCCCGCGACCGGGGCCGAGGTATTTCGCCGCCGCGGCCACCACGATTCCTCCCCAGCCAGGCGCGCAAGCGCTGATAGCAGCCCGCGCTCGCTCCTCGTCAAATGGATCCGTTGGGACTACCACTGTTTTCTGTAGATTCAGCCCCATGCCGGAAATCTGGCGAAACTCGTCGAAGAACTGCTGCAAACTGCCGAGGTGTGCCCGCGCATTCGCCAGCACCAGCGCGAGATCGTCGGCGTAAGCCCTGGCGGCGGCGCCCGGAAATATTCGTCGAAGCCGGCGAAGAAGCAAGTCCGAGCAGGCAGCGTAGAGCAACGGCGACAGCGGGCAGCCCTGGCGGATGCCTCTGGATAAGCAGAAACCAAGGTAACGCCCACCAGCAGTGCCCAACTGGCAGTTGTTGTTCCTGTAAAGGCCGCCAATGAAATTTAGCAGCTAGCTGGGCCATCCAAGACGACGAAAGAAGCTCATCAGCAGCTGGTGTTCGATCGAGGGGAAGGCCGCGGCGAAATCGAAGAAGAATGCCATTCCACCTTCCGTCTGCGCCGCCGTCTCCAGCATGGCTTCGTCCACGTCGACGATATTGCTGATCATTCGTTTGTATTCAATGACAAGAGTTCGACGGATCCCCATGGTCAGCATACCAGAACTTTGTGTTCTGGGGAGATTCAGGATTATGCGGGTGCAGCAATTACATTGGTTCGCGGTTCCGACGAAGCAGTTCCCTCAGTGATGATGAACCCTTGTAGGAACCTGCGAAAAGGTAGTTTGGAGGGAGGATTTGTTCTAACATCGTCGATGGAACTTGGAATTACACTGACCTCCTCCTCCTCCTCCTCCTCCTCCTCTTCCTCCTCCTCGCTCTCGTCCTCCGCCTCCTCGAGTGACGCCGCCACTGTCGAACCATCGCGGGGCGAATCGCCACGACGCTGACAGGTCGCGCCCAGCGCGGCCACGGCCTCCGCGCGCGCCCCCGCCGGGCACTGGCGCAGAGGTGCGGCGCCGCGGGCTGGCAGGTGGCCGCGCTTCTTATCGGCGCCCCGCCGCCAAGACGGCGCGTTGGCCGCAGCCCGAGCAGCCGCCCCCCGCCCGCCAGGCTCGGGGCGCGGCCCCGCACCAGCCGTCGCAGGCGCTGCAGCGCTGCCCGTGCCGAGGCAGG